TCCCAGCTTTCAAGTCTTCTCTGCTGAAGCCTCAGACAGTGTGGAACAGAGGGATGCTGTCTTTGTTATACCTCTTCCAAATTCCTGACCCAGAGAGTCTAGAAATAGGGATTATTTTATACCGCTCTCTGTGGGTTGACCTGTTACACAGCAATAGTAACTATGACTCTAAGACGCATCCAAGTATATGGAGAGAGAGAAGTGACTTACCATCCCGATGCCAGAGGGCAAGAGTAGGATTTTTGTGTGTGCTATCGTCTGCCTCTTCTGGTCTCTGAGGTAATGTCCCTAGTTCACCCAGCTGCTCTTTTCCTTGCTGGCATTGGTGGCTATGGTCTGTGGATGTTGAACTGTCAGTCTTTTTCTATTTCCCTCTCTTTCTGTCTGGGCTAGGTTGGAGCCCAGATGGCTTGTCTGGGATAACTCATCCTCATTTCCACTCCCATAGGTATTGTAGACCCAACAGAAGATTCCTATGCCTCCCATCAGCCTCAGCTCCAATGTTTGGCTTTGCAGCTCCTGTTAGTAACCCCCTTGCAGACTTGCCACAGGATGCCAGAGGTGACTCAGAGTCTTCCTCTGCCTGAGCATGCTGCTCCACCAGCCTGGGTATTGTTGTACTCCAGACAAATGAAAGGGCAGCCTGAGATGCTTAGTTTCGAGTTTTCATGAGGGACGGGGGCCTCCTTATGCCTTTCTGCCATTACTCCCTTTTATCTGATACATTTCTCTCTGTCCAGGTCAGAGGGATTCTGCCTATTTAAAGTCTTGGAAAGGGAAAATTGGGAAATACATTGGCTCTTTCTGCCGTCCTTCTTTTCCCTTTTCCCTTATTTTCTCATTCCTGTAATTCCCCAAACAGACTCTTCCCTGACTTCCTACTATCCATTCCAACTTTTGGTTAAGACTTAATACAAAAGATATTTTCCCTACATATGATCTGAGGTCTTCCAGGTTTGGACATTGATATTCTAAAGTCCTCAAGACTGTGAGTTGGATTGCAAGGCTATTATCTTGCTAAAAAATCCTATTTTGCATGTTAGAAGCTGATATTACTTTGCTTTTTGGTTGCCATTTTTTTTCTGAAACAAACTGTGATCTCACCTTGGGCAAATGGATGGTTACACACAGAAAGGGCAAAACTATTTATCATTTGGAGATGATTACCCCCTGTATACTTGGTTTGAGTGGCACACCAAATTACTTGCTTATTCAGGGCTCCTACCATCTCAGTTTGGCCTTGGGTCTGAGCTGCAGTCAATATTAAGGTCCTTCAGGGGCGCCTGGGTGGCTCAGTTGGTTAAGCAGCTGCCTTCGGCTCAGGTCATGATCCTGGAGTCCTGGGATCGAGTCCCGCATCGGGCTCCCTGCTCAGCGGGGAGTCTGCTTCTCCCTCTGACCCTCCCCCCTCTTGTGCTCTCTCTCTCTCTCTCTCACTTTCTTTCTCTCAAATAAATGAATAAAAACTTTAAAAAAATATTAAGGTCTTTCAAGGCGAATCTTGGTGCAACTGCTTTATTCTGTCTTGTGCCTTTTGTATTAAACTTTGAAAAACATGAAAAACATAGCCTGCTTCCTTAAAATAACTACGCCTTCTAGGTTCCTAATAGTTTGTTATTGTCCTGTTTTGTTTGTTCATCTATTCCGTATTTGTGTCCTAATTCCTGATTATATGTTTAGTCACAAATTTATTGTTTGCCTTTACCCCTACTTTATATATTTGTCTTACTTCCTAGTTTTTACCCATTTCTTTTTGCTCTGATTCTCAGTAACTCAGTGTTCCAACATTGCAGATTATTCAGGTACACATTAGTTAGGATGCTTTTAGTAGGTTGTACAAACCCCAGCTCAAGTCAAGCCAGACAATAAAAGCAATTTATTCGTTCACATTTTTTTGAAAAGTCAGGTTTCAGGAAAGGAGTGATACAGCAATGTCATTATGCTTCTTACTGACTCTCAAATCTGCCTTTTATGGTGTTGATTTCATGCTAAACTGATTGGAGGGGGGCTACCAATAGAAATCTGTGTTAGATGCTACCTCATTTATGTCCAACAATGGAAAAAATGTTTCTCTCCTCCAAATCACTGAAGTCTTAGGCTTTACTTTGTTTGGGCAAACTCAAAACACATGTCCGACGTTGGATCAATCACTATCATTGAAAAAGAAGTGAGGGATTATTGTGATTGTCATAGGTTAGATTCTGCCCCTACAGTTTGGAGTGGGATCAGTCTACCCAAATTACATGGCTGTCACACAATGCAAAATGGGAGAAGTAGATTCAGGGTGAGTTGGAGTCACCTCTTAAATTTTGTGTGAGCTGATTATGCTCATGTCTTCCCCAACTCAGTGTTCACTGACTTCACTTTGGTAGCTCGAAGTCAGCCATAGCAGGAGTATTTACACCACAGAAATTGGCAAATATCACAAGTAAGTTGTGTGGGATTTTTTGGTGGGGAGCTGGCTTACCAATGCACCTCTGATAATGGGAGGGACTTAATTTCATGTGTGTTAATAGGAAACAGTCTCTTAACTAGTTTTCCTAACTTCAAGATTGCTTACCCCTACTACCCACTTTTAAAAAATGACAGCTTTACTAAGATAACTCACATGCCATAAAATTCACCCTTTTAAAGTGTACAGTTCAGTGATTTTTGTATATCCATAGAGTCATATAGTCATCAGCATGATCAGTTAGACAACATTTTCATCACCCCTAAAAAGAAACCCCATATGTATTAATCAAGTTTCTCTACAGAGAGAAACCACATATATATATATGCAGAGAGAAAGAGACTTATTGTAAGGAATTGGCTAATGCAATATGGAGGCTGAGAAGTCCCACAGTCTGCTGTCTGCAAGCTGCAAACCCCAGAGAGCTGGTAGTGTAATTCAGTCCCAGTCTAAAGGCCTGAGAACCACGAGTACCAACAGCAGGATAAGATTAATGTCCGAGCTCAGGCAATCAGGCAGGAAGGGACTAAATTCTTACTTCCTCTGCCTTTTTCTTCCATTTCTTTTATTCCCTCAGCAGATTGGAAGGTGCCCACCTACCTCCATCGGGAAGAGCAAACTGCTTTACTGAGTCCACAGATTCAAATGCTAATTTCATCTAGAAACACCCTTACAGGCACAACTCAGAAATAATGTTTAGCCAAATGTTTGGATGCCCCGTGATCTAGTCAAGTTGACACATAAAATTGGCCACCGCACCCATTAACAGTCTCTTCTCATTCTCCCCCTCCCCCTAGTCCCTTGCAAAGTTACTTTCTGTCTCCGTGGACTTGCCTATTTTGGACATTCTGTAGAAGGAATCATACAATGTGTAGTCTTTTGGTTTAGTTTTTTTCACTTAGCCTGTTTTCATGGTTCATCTATGCTACAGCATCTGTCAGTATTTTATTGCTTGTATTGCCAAATAATATTTCACTGCGTGGATAGACCACATTTTGTTTATCCACATCAGTTGATGACATGTGAGTTCTTATTCTAATTCTAATTATAGTTCTGGAATCTGGTCCTTTCTACCTTCAGTCTTTAGTACCTTCTTGCTGCCAGAATCCTTTCTTAAAAAACATCACATTTAATCTTGTCACTCACCTGATCAAAATAAATCATCCTTCCCACCTAGGAGATGCTAGAGGAACACATCAACCCTGCATTTGACGCTTCCTTCAATTTGACGGAAGCTTGCCTAGGAATGAGCAGATCCTGCCTCCCTGTGAGCAGGCAGGTTTGGCCAGTAATTCTCAAATCTCACTGAAAGGGTCTCTACTGAACCAAAACCCAACATACAAGCCCCAAAGAAATTAGACCCTGACTATGAAAAACAAAAGCCCAAACTATAGAAAGTAACATGGATATAATATAGTTTTAGGATTTTGTCATTTGTATTTCTTTTCATCTCTTAATTATTGAGAATTTCATGGGGGTACTGGAGGGATAATAGATCTTACAATTAGATAGTTAGTTTGAAGTCCTGGCTAAGTTGCTTAATATTGACATTCTTTAAATCCTCTTTTTCTGAGATTTTAAGCAAATTGTCTTTTCTTATATGTAAAGTGGGAGTAATAATTCCTATGTCAGAGTTCTGCTATGGATTAAAAGATACAAACACCCAACTACCGTGCCCAACCCATAATAGACACTCAGTAAATCCGTTGACCCTATTATTATTGTTATGGTTGAATATGTAGTTAAATTTTTCAATTATTTTCAATAAGGCCAGTCTAAGATTAGAACTATTGTGGTGTTCTTTCGTTGTTTTATAGTTCTGGTGATTTAATTTCAATATTGTGTTAGTGCTTTAAAATTAGTACCAATTTTAAGCAGAAATTAGATAATCAGTTCAAGGGCTTTATGTTCCTTGTCTGCCATTACCCTTGATGTAATCTGAGAGAATCAATATTTCCTTTGGGAAGTGGTCAATGAGAGTGTCTTGTTTTATCACAACAGAATCTTCTCTGAAGTGCTTTAAGGATAAGTATTTTAAACATGATGCTGAGTTATCCTGAGGTCAATTTCTCGGAGGAAAAAAATCTTTGAGTTTGGCATTTACGACTTGATAGCAACTATGAAAGATATAACCTAAGATATAATTCTTTGGAATGATTATAATTTATATTAACTTTAAAAAGGTGTTGAATGATAGTTAAATTATAATTGTTTTGGTCTTATGTAGGTGATCATAAAATTTAAGTTGTTCTTTGGGCCGTGTATTTATGGTTTACAAAAGTTTTACATGTGTAACAATTTATCTTTTTAGTTTTATAAATAAAACAACCACGATCTAGAGGCTTTTTTCAGAATTAAATTATTTATAAATACTGTAGCCATTTTTTTTCATTGAGGCATTTGTAATTTGAGATATTAGGTTAATTGTGTGTAAATTAAACTTGGATCGTAATAAGACTAACATATTGAAGATCAACTTCTAGAAATCACTTGTTTTTACATATTTTGGTCATTCAATATTATTTCTCTTTCTCCCCCCACCCAATAGGATTATCCTTGTCAAGATGATTATTCAGTAGTCCACAGAAAATGCCGTTCTCAGTTCACTGATCTTGATGGTTCCAAAAGATTTGGCATCAACCCTTGGCATGACGAGAGTGGGATTTATGCTAATTCATGTGTAAAACGAAAACTCTACCCATTAACTGGTGGTCCTATTATCCCCTTTTAAAAGTAATCTGTGGAATCAGATTCTCTAACTAATGAAAGAATAATGGAAATAACAGTTGATTTTTCTATCCCAATAAATGCAATGGAAATGTTACTATAGTAGGTTCCTTCAAAAACAAAATTTTATATATTCTAGGCCAGCATATATATATGCTTTTCATTAGCTGCTCTGGTATTTTCCAAAGTTTAGTATGTATACCACCGAGAGTGTACAACACAATTCTTGATGGTACTTGGTGGAATTTTCTTTTATTTATAGACTATGTATTTATTTCAAATTTTATTAGAAAAATGCATAAAGCTAGCATAAAGCTTATGATTGCTCAGGATATGGCTAATTAAAAAAATAAGCTACCTTAAATTCCATTTTTAAGTGAATAAAAATATAGGTGGCACTCAGATTTGACATGAAACTCATATGACTGAAGTTTGGGCAACACTGGCCCTATGGTAGTGGGGAATGTGACTATTTATAGACTTGGATTTATCTGTAGTAGCTGACTGCAGTGTGGATTGTTTATTCAGCATAGCGTTTTTCCTTACTTAAGATAATACTTTTTGAGTCCATGGATAGGAGAGATGTAGACAGAATCTTAGTGAAACATTACGGTTTGATGGGAAAATCCAGTCATCTAATGTTAGATTTAGAAGAGATCTTGGCAATTGTTCTGACTCACCATCCACTTTAAGGATGAGCATATAGAAACCCGCAGAGGTTTAAGTAGGTTTTCCTCTTACATAAATAGCAGGCTCTAGATGATCTTTGAAGTGCATTTGACCTTTTCTTTCTTCTTTTTTTAAGATTTATTTATTTACTGGAGGAGGGATACGAGCAGAGGGAGAAAAAATTCCAAGCAGATTCTGTGTTCATGCAGGGCTCGATCCCATGGCCCCAAGATCACAACCTCAGTCAAAACCAAGAGTCAGACGGTCAACTGACTGCGCCACCTAGGCACCCCAGACCTTTCATTTCTTTTGAGGATATGGGTTTAATTATTTGGTCAGCCTAGGCTTAAATTTACTATCATTATTTTTCTTTAAAAAATAAATTCATGAAATAGCATTTCATGATAAATGCTAATTTAGCATCGCCTCCAACTCCAGCAAAATATGGTAAAGACCATAAGCCTTGTGAGTGGAGAAATGATAATTAATAAAGAAAATGTGGATATGCCAGGTAAGCATTCACCAGCAGAGTTTGACCATAATTTCTTGCTGCTTTAAAGTATTTGTCTGCATAATACACACACACGTTTTATATATATATATATGCATAAGTATGTATATTATATATAATGTTAATTCTTTTTCTTATTTTTAATTGAGGTATAGTTGACATACAATATTATATTAATTTCAGATGTGCAACATAGTGATCTGACAATTATATACATTACGATATACTCACCATTATAAGTGTAGTTACCATCAGTCACAATAAAGAGTTACTACAATATTTTTGGCCCTCTTCCCTATGTAGTACTTGTCATTCCCATAACTTATTTATTTTATAACTAGAAGTTTGTACCTCTTAATCTCCTTCACCTACTTCACCTATTCTCCATGATTTCCCTCCCCTCTGGCAACCACCAGTTTGTTCTCTGTATTCATGAGTGTTTTTCTGTTTGTTTGTTCATTTGTTTTGTTTTTTAGTTTACACATATAAGTAAAATCATATAGTATTTGCCGTTCTCTGTCTGACTTATTTCACTTTGCATAATGCCCACTAGGTTCATCCACGTTGTTACGAATGGTAAGATTTCATTCTTTTTTTAAGGCTGAGTAATATTCACTCTGTGTGTGTGTGTGTGTGTGTGTGTGTGTGTGTGTGTACCACATCTTCTTTATCCATTCGTCTATCAGTGGACACTTAGGTTGCTTCCATATCTTGGCTATTACAATAATACTGCAATAAACATAGGGGTGCATAAATCTTGTTGAATTGGTGTTTTCATTTTCTTTAGGTAGATACCCAGAATTAGGATTACTGAATTATGTAGTATTTCTAGTATTTTAATTTTTAATTTCTTGAGGATATTCCGTATTTTTTTCCATAGTAGCTATACCAATTTCTATTCCCCCAACAGTACACAAGGGTTCCCTTTTCCCTACATCCTCACCAACACTTGTTATTTCTTATCTTTTCATTACTAGCCATTCTGACCAGTGTGAGGTAATATCTCATTGTGGTTTTGCTTTGCATTACCTTGATGATTAATGATGTTGAGCATCTTTCCATGTTTCTCTTGCCCATCTGTATGTCTTCTTTTTTTTTAATTTTTTATTGTTATGTTAATCACCATACATTACATCATTAGTTTTTGATGTAGTGTTCCATGATTCATTATTTATGTATAACACCCAGTGCTCCACGCAGAACGTGCCCTCTTTAATACCCATCACCAGGCTAACCCATCCTCCCACCCCTCTCCCCTCTAGAACCCTCAGTTTGTTTTTCAGAGTCCATCGTCTCTCATGGTTGGTCTCCCCCTCCTCTTTCCTCCCCCTTCATTCTTCCCCTCCTGCTATCTTCTTCTTCTTTTTTTTTTTAACATATATTGTAGTATTTGTTTCAGAAGTACAGCTCCGTGATTCATCAGTCTTGCACAATTCACAGCGCTCACCATAGCACATACCCTCCCCAATGTCTATCACCCAGCCACCCCATCCCTCCCACCCCCGACCACTACAGCAACCCTCAGTTTGTTTCCTGAGATTAAGAATGCCTCATATCAGTGAGGTCATATGATACATGTCTTTCTCTGATTGACTTATTTCACTCAGCATAACACCTTCCAGTTCCATCCACGTCGTTGCAAATGGCAAGATCTCATTCCTTTTGATGGCTGCATAATATTCCATTGTGTATATATACCACATCTTCTTTATCCATTCATCTGTCGATGGACATCTTGGTTCTTTCCTCAGTTTGGCTATTGTGGACATTGCTGCTACAAACATCGCGGTGCACGTACCCCTACAGATCCCTACATTTGTATCTTTGTGGTAAACACCCAGTAGTGCAATTGCTGGATCATATGGTAGTTCTATTTTCAACTTTTTGAGGAACCTCCATACTGTTTTCCAGAGTGGCTGCACCCGCTGGCATTCCCACCAAAAGTGTAGGAGGTTCCCCTTTCTCCGCATCCCTGCCAACATCTGTCATTTCCTGACTTGTTAATTTAAGCCATTCTGACTGGTGTGAGGTGATATCTCATTGAGGTTTTGATTTGGATTCCCCTGATGCTGAGCGATGTTGAGCACTTTTTCATGTGCCTGTGGGCCATTTGGATGTCTTCTTTGGAAAAATGTCTGTTCGTGTCTTCTGCCCATTTCTTGATTGGATCATTTGTTATTTGGGTGTTGAGTTTGATAAGTTCTTTATAGATTTTGGATACTAGCCCTTTATCTGATATGTCATTTGCAAATATCTTCTCCCATTCTGTCGGTTGTCTTTTAGTTTTGTTGACTGTTTCTTTTGCCATGCAAAACCTTTTTATCTTGGTGAAGTCCCAATAGTTCATTTTTGCCCTTGCTTCTCTTGCCTTTGACGATGTTTCTAGGAAGAAGTTGCTGTGGCTGAGGTCAAAGAGGTTGCTGCCTGTGTTCTCCTTTAGGATTTTGATGGACTCCTGTCTCACATTTAGGTCTTTCAACCATTTGGAGTCTATTTTTGTGTGTGGTGTAAGGAAATGGTCCAGTTTCATTCTTCTGCATGTGGCTGTCCAATTTTCCCAGCACCATTTGTTGAAGAGACTGTCTTTTTTCCATTGGACATTCTTTCCTGCTTTGTCGAAGATGAGTTGACCATAGAGTTGAGGGTCCATTTCTGGGCTCTCTATTCTGTTCCACTGATCGATGTGTCTGTTTTTGTGCCAGTACCATACTGTCTTGATGATGACAGCTTTGTAATAGAGCTGGAAGTCAGGAATTGTGATGCTGCCTGCTTTGCTTTTCTTTCTCAACATTCCTCTGGCTATTTGGGGTGTTTTCTGGTTCCATACAAATTTTAGGATTATTTGTTCCATTTCTTTGAAAAAAGTGGATGGTATTTTGATGGGGATTGCATTGAATGTGTAGATTGCTCCATCTGTGTCTTCTCTGGAAAAATGTCTATTCAGCTCCTCTGCCTATTTTTCAATCAAATTTGTTTTGTTTTTATGTTGAGTTGTATAAGGTCTTTATATATTTTGGATACTAACCCTTTATTGGATATATCCTTTGCAAATATCTTCTCTTATTCACTAGTTTGCCTTTTTGTTTTGTTGATGATTTCACTGTGCAAAAGCTTTTTTAGTTTGATGTAGTCACAAATGTTTGCTTATTTTTTATTTTTTAAATTTAATTTAATTTTATTATGTTGTTAGTCACCATACAATACATCATTAGTTTTTGATATAGTGATCCATGATTCATTGTTTTTGTATAACACCCAGTGTTCCATGCAGTACGTGCCCTCCTTAATACCCATCACTGGGCAAACCCATCCTCCCACCCCCCTCCCCTCTAGAACCTTCAGTTTGTTTCTCAGAGTCCATGGTCTGTCATGGTTCATCTCCCCTTCTGATTTCCCCCCCTTCATGTTTCCCTTCCTTCTCCTAATGTCCTCCGTGCTATTCCTGATGTTCCACAAATAAGTGAAACCATCTGATAATTGACTTTCTCTGCTTGACTTATTTCACTTAGCATCATCTCCTCCAGTCCCATCTACATTGATGTAAAAGTTGGGTATTCATCCTTTCTGATGGTTGAGTAGTATTCCATTGTATATATGGACCACATCTTCTTTATCCATTCATCTGTTGAAGGACATCTTATCTCTTTCCACAGTTTGGCTATTATGGACATTGCTGCTATGAACATTGGGGTGCATATGGCCCTTCTTTTCACTACATCTGTGTCTTTGGGGTAAATACCCAGGAGTGCAATTGCTGGGTCATAGGGTAGCTCTATTTTTAATTTTTTGAGGCACCTCTACACTGTTTTCCAGAGTGGCTGTACCAACTTGTATTCCCACCAACAGTGTAACAGGATTCCCCTTTCTCCACAACCTTTCCCAACATTTGTTGTTTCTTTTTG